TTCCTCTGCCCAGAGCCGCGTGAGTTCCCTACAGGAGAGGAGGGGCCAGACAGGTGCTGCATCTGGCACAGGGCTGTGCATGGTGGTGTGAGAAGCAGGCAGCGTTTCCGGGTTGCTCTCACCCCTGGCCTTCAGTGCCATCCTCCTATCCTACCTGACTGTGCACGCCAGCATCTACACACCACATCTTTGTCATGAATCACCAAACACAATTTTAAGTACATCCTAAACTCAACAGTTACTAAAACAAGAGGCTGGAATTTTAGTATTTTAGGAGGGGTTGTTGTTGTTGTCCGCTGCCATTAAGTAAATTCCTACTCGTGGCAACCCGATGTGTGCAGAGGACAACTGTGCCCCATGAGACTTTCAATGGCTGAGACCTTTCAAATCTGATCACCGAGACTGTCTTCCAAGGTGCCTCTGGGTGGATGTGAACTGCCAATCTTTCAGCTAGTAATAGAGCACCTAACCGTTTGCACCACCCAGGGACTCCTTAGGAGGGGTTCCAAACCCCATTTGCTGCTGCATTAGTTTCCCATAATTCTTGCTCTTTTGACATTCTTTTTGATTAAGGTCCAGAATGCCGGAGGCCCACACTGCCCCAGAGCAGTCAAGATGAGAAGTAGTGGGGACCTGTTTCCAAACCCTTATTTATCTCTTTATGGTTCAGTGCTGAGAGTCCTTAGACAACTTTCAAAGGGATGAGGGCTGGTCTCGGGGACAGTGTCATAAAGGGCAGGTTTTGGGGTAGAGTTTTGTCCCCTGGAAGGCCAGCCACTGAGGTCAAAATCGACACGGTGAGGGCTGATGTAGGCCAGGCCTAGTCTGGTGGCGCTGGGTTGTATATGGTGAAGAGGAATCTGTTCCCCTCAGCATTTTGCCCTGCTGGCTACCTGGAGCTCCCTCTCAGGCTTTCCCACCTCTCTGCCCACTAGGCTTTTCCCAGAAAGGGGGACCTCTTACTGGAGGTTCAGGGATGGGGAAGTACTTGCTCCTGCCACTAGGTGGCAGCAATGGGTGTGTTTTCTGTATCCTGGATCCTTATTTTCCCCAAGCAAGAATCCCTGTTGAACGTGGAGGGATGCCCAGTACTTAGTAACATGTTTATCCTGCTGGTTTGGCAGTAGTTCTTAATACAGTGGGGTGTCAGAAGGCTTCGGATACTTGTTAAAACGCAAACTCTTGGGCCCTCTTCCAGCCTTTCTGGATCAGAATCTCTGGGAGATAGGGCCAAAGAATCCGTATTTTTACCACGTGACCCAGGTGATTTGCTTTAAGAAAAATATTTTGGGGCCCAGTATGAAAACATGACAGACATGTATGGCACTGTTTCTAAGGGAAAGCAATCTTTGAGTTCTAGGGGTTTCCCTACAACTGTGCGTTTGGAATTACTCGTACCTCATGATCCCATAGTGCTAAGCTTGCCACAAAGCACAGGGAAGGGCTTTAGATGCTACTGTGGTGCTGTTAAAGAATGTCCAGTGAAAAGGTCTTGATGCTGGAATGCTCCATAATCCATGCCACGCCATAGATGGGGTACACATTTTTGCAGTCTTTTGTTTTGGATGGGTCCTGAGGGACATTGTGGAGTCCCTGGGGGTACAAACCTTTAACATACTTGGCTGCTAACCAAAAGATTGGAGGTTTGAGTCCACCCAGAGGTGACACAGAAGAAAGGCCTGAAGATCTACTTCCAAAAAATCAGCCATTGAAAACTCTATGAAGAACAGTTCTACTCTGACACACATGGGTTCGCCATGACTCATCGTTGACTTGATGGTAACCAGTTTAAGGCACGTTGCAGTCAATGTGAATTAAAAGAATAGGATTTTATGACTCCAAAACATGCATTAAATCAAGGATCAGAAAGAAAAAAGGGATTGATTTTCAAAGCTTTCATATACCGAAACAGAACAGCTTTTTTCACAAATTATTTCTATTACGGCTGAATCTATAGTTAGGATATGTAATCCTGCCTGACATGAGTTTCTAGATAAGAGTTTTTGTCTCATGAAAAAGAGTGTAACTTCAGCTGGAATACATTAGGAAAAAACTAATAAATAAAATGAGAAATTCTTACTAAAAATTTTAATCAGTTAACGGCGAAAGGCGAGCAGCTTTTGTTTTTATACGAAGCCATGGGTTTGGCAAATGTCGTGCATCTTGATGAATATTTAAAACAAACAACCTTCCTTCTCCTCTCCCCTTTCCACTCCTCAACTTGCTGTCAGTCAATTTTTCTGGTTATTTTAGGCAATTCCGTCTTTCTTTCTCTCCTGAGTCTGTCAGTTATGGAAAGTAAGCATATGGAACACCTTGAAACCTGGATCAGATCTTCCCCGCTAATTACTCCCCTATTGAGATAAACAGAAATAAACTCTTGATAAATTTAGCAAACAGCAATACCTTTGTGCAACCCAGCAGTGAAAACAAAAGGCAAACGACCACAGCAAAAATTGCAAGCACATTGCCAGCAGAAGGCTGGGATTCTTCTGGCACATTTCTGAAATGGTTCCAACAGCCCTCTTGCTTTCCTTGTGCTATTGGGAGTCCATAAATTAAAGCCACGAGCCAGTGATTCTATCCGCAAGACTTAGTGGCATTTCACTGCAATGTAAATAATTTATTGTGCCCAGTTACATTATTTAAGATGTTAAATGCAGCTATGGTGCTCTAGAATCTGAGCTAGCTTCCTCAGGACTGGCAGGAAAAATATGTCGCACGCATTTTAGTAAACCAAAAAACCAAATCTGTTGCCAACGAGTCGATTTTCACTCCCAGCGACCCTAGAGGACAGAGCAGAACTGCCCCATCGGGTTTCCAAGGCTGTAAATCTTTACGGAGACGGACTGTCACATTTTTCTCCTGTGAAGTGACTGAGTTCCCACCGCTGACCTTAGTGCTTCACCACTTCGCCACCAGGGCGCCTCACGCGTTAAAGGGCAACACTATTAGGCAGGCATGGGCCCTTCTGGAGAATTCAGCGTTTGTTTGGGATTACATTTCAGAATAAAAATGGCATGCACCCAGTGCATTCCTGATAGGAACCAGCAGCAAGCCCTGCATAAGGAGGCAATGGGTCATGTATTTGGAGTCAGTTCCAGCGGTGTTACTAGTGTTGGTGTCACCCAGTGTGGTTAACTCATGGTGCGGGGCCAGCTGGTGGGACTCCCCCCCCGACCCCATCCCACCCCCCCGACCCCA